TATTTTAGGGCGATATTTCGTAGATATAAACTGATTAAATCATGTAATTTAAAAATAAATTAATTTAAAATTCTTTTGTGTTAGGTATGTTTAATATACTTGGCAACACTACAGGGACAAGTCATGCATACTGCGCAAGCTTCTAGACACACTATTTTGAGATGTCAGGCGCAGAGACGCATTTTTATGCACAGTAGGTTTCAATTTCTGCTTGGATGTTATATTTATATTGGTCTTCTATATTATTTCTATGGATAAAGTGTACAAAAAGTTTCAAAGAGCCTTAGGTCCAGATAAAAATGTATTGTGGAATGAATACAAAAATAAAAGAAATATAGTTGTTAATTCATTGAAGTGCAAGAAAAAAGTTTTATGAACATAAAATAGATGAACATAAAAATGATTCTAAGGAAATAATATGGAAATTAAATTTGACTCTGTTGGGTTTTCTGTTGATGGATCTGTACCTTTCGCTAAAACGGAAGAAGAAGCAGCCAACAAATTAAATAATTTTTTTGTAAATAGTATATGTGAAATAACAAATGCAATACCTTCAACTGATGATTGGTCACCAAATTTTTTAAATGATATTCAATCAACATTAACTGATTTTAAATTAATTACATTAGATCAACTAAAAAAAAGCTGTTTTTTCGTTAAAAAATAATGATGAGATATTGAGTGCTAAGTTTTTAAAGGAAACCTTCTATACAACCGGCTTTGCAGTGTTAAATTTAATAAACACCTCACTAGAAACAGGAACATTTGCTGATAGACTAAAAGCAAGCAAGCAAGTCCAAAAAATTGCAAACGATACAAATACATTCAACTTGCAACCTATAAATATACTTCCGACGATTAAAAAATTATTAAAACTGTAGTTCGTGACCAAATATTAGAATACATTAATAACAATGGTTTGTTTGTGGGAAATCAGTCCGGATTTAGGGAAGGCCATTCATGTGAAACGTCTTTACAGTTAACTATAATGGAAGCAAGTACTTGATGAAAATAAATATATAATAGCAGTTTTTCTAGATTTTAAACGAGCTTTTAAGACAATAGATCGTAAAATTTTGATTAATAAATTGAAATATTATGGTTTTGCAAGACGAGTCCTGACCTGGTTTGAACAGTATATGACTGATAGATTACAATATGTAAAGCTAGGTAAATCAACATCTGAAATGCTAAAAAATAACTTAGGAGTACCGCAAGGAAGTATATTAGGGCCGCTTCTATTTATCATATATTTAAATGACATTAATTATATTGAGTGTGACTTTATTAATATATTTGCAGATAATACACTGGTAGCATGTTATGGGTATAACCTTGAGGAAATTTTAAATAAACTGAATAATATACCTATTGAAAGTCTTAACCCAGTTTTTAAATAAAAATAAACTTAATACTAAAAAACGAAAGCAATGATTTTGGGAAGTAAATATAAATTAAATCAAATAAACTGTAATAGATACAACATTAGAATTGAAAAATGAGAATGTTGAATGGGTTAATGAATTTAAATACTTGGGATTTATTTTAGATGAAAATCTATTATTGAAACCTCACTGGGAATATGTATGCAAAAAAATATCAAAAAAGCTATTTTTCTTCTAAGGATTGCTTCAAATCTCTTCCTTTTTTCTAGATTAACAGTGTATAAAACTATTATACAACCTCATTTTGACTAATGCGGATCGTTACTTTATAAATTGGATAATAGCTGTTTACAAAGATTACAAAAATTGCAAAATAGAGGAATGAGAATAATCCTTCGATGTAACAGATACACACAAATAAATGGTATGATGACTACTTTAAGTTGGATTTTAGTCAGACAAAGATTTTATTATTTAGCAATGACTTTTGTTTATAAACCAAAAAATAAAAAACTTCCTGAGTACTTCAATGATTTTATCATCTACAATAATGAAATACATAACTACAATACAAGATCTGTTAACAGTTTTTATATTCCAAAAACGAGACTAGTTATAGCAACAAAATTTATTTTTATATGTGGATTAGGTGAATTTAATGCTTTGCCTAGTTAAATTAAAACAAGTACCTCTCTACCTCAGTTTAAAAACTGTTTAATACAGTTTATTTCCAGTCCGTAAATTAAATTAACTAAATTAACTTTGTATGTTTACTTTAATATGTATTTATTTTATTTTAACTTTCATAAATTCGATGGGCTTGTGTGGAAAAATCGGGTAAACTCTCAATTTTTCCTTAGAAGATTACACCCTTTAGCCACTTGAAGCCTAGTTCTATTAATTAATCATATGGTGAAAACGGATTGCATGGAAATATGAGCTACAAATCACCTTTTATTTTTGTTAGGGAAAATGGAATTTTCCATGTGTTATCCCCAGAGCCACTTGTAAATTTCCTTTCATTCTACTTAAAATCGATGTACTTTTCAACCCTCTTCGAGGCTTGTATGCAAAAATGGGGCACTAAACCTGTCACTATCTGACGGACTATAATATAGGTAAATTTTATTTTTAATTACAATATTACTTAATGTGAGAAGTATGGGATAATGATCTGACTTCATGTCCCATGATTTTTCTATATGCATATAACTTGCTTCAACTATTTTATAACCTCTTTTTTTAGTTCATTAGTTATTAGTTAATTATCACAGGAGTAGTGCAATTTGGTAGCCATTACCTTAATAGGTATATTTTATTTATTATCGAAGGAGTACCATGAATAATTTTCAGCATTATTTTCCTCTATTAAAGTTCGCCTTATTTGGTGTATTAAACATAGTGGTGGCCTGGGGCCTATTTCATAAAATTACTTTGCAACTTTTTACTTTGCACTTTGCATATTTTAGTAAATTTATGTTTCATAGAAGAGTAATTTGACGATTTAAAAAGTAAAATTTGAAAAGCAATTTGCAAAATGAAAATTAAAAATTAATAATCTGCCAATATAAGGACATTATTTTATGAAACACAAGTATTTTCCACTTGTAAATTTGCAAAGTGGAAAGTTGCAAAGTAGTTTTATGAAATAGGCCCCTGATTTTCCATCTATTCCTGAGGTATTATTATAAAATTAAACATAGGGGAAAAGATGATTTAGACAAGTTATTTATGTTTTCTTAATAAATAACAAGGTGCATTTGAAAATATGTGATTCTATTTAAAAAACCAAGTTGACCTTGACGGTCACAAGCAAGAGAACATTTAAGAATGACATAGAGTAGGCTAGCTGACAAAAGAGTGACCTATCAATTCAGGAGTATGTGAGGAAAGTAGACCCTAAGTGCCGTGGGGTAACCCACCCTCCACACATTACAGATACAGAAATACATAGCCTTAATAATGTAAAGATAACAAAAAAAAAAAACACCAGCTAACACACTTGACGATTGGAATGTAATGTGACAAATAAACACAAATTGTCAGAAAATCAAAAATTAATTTTGGAGTATTACTAATGATAAACACCGCTTCAGGCTTGTTCTAACTAGTGCATCTACACTTTAGCAGGAATAGATACTGTATGTATCATATATTATTAGTATTATCATTAGATCAACTAGTAGAACAATACCAATGAAAATTATCTCGGAGGACAATGGACAGTATCAATAGATTGCAGCAAGCTCTGTGGTGTCCAAGTCATGTCTTTGATAATTTTGTCGTCTTCTACCAAGCCATTGAACGGTTATCGAAACTGAATAACGAACGTAATTTCTCTATTTACTAATAGATGGACTGATAATCGATTCAGAATATTTGTTTTAAAAATGAGATAAACGATTTTAATTATGCTTGATGAACATTTATTTACGATTTATCATCATTTTAAAGAATATAAACAATATTAATTTAAATTTTGCAGTCTACCCAAATGAATTTAAAAATTAAGAAAACTTTATGTATAAAGAAATCTATACTCAATGATCATTTTGAAGAAAGTTCTGTACTTATTCTAACAGATGTCGTGACAGAATTGCCTCCAACGAATCCCCATAAGGTTGTTCTACTATCTTATCTAAATACAATGGTATTAACATACAGCTTATAGGCATTTCTTTATAAGCTTACCAGAACATACTTCTGTAACCAGAGCATTTCTTTATAACATTTGGTTACTCTGCTTTGGTTACATGTTACCAAAGCATATGTAGCTACATCTAACGAGGCATTTATTTATAAGCTTACTAGAACATACTATAATAAAAAATAACAAAATCAAAACATCCTAAAATTTCTAAAATTCAAATTCCGTTTAGAAATCCCCAAACTTAAATTAAATTTGACATATGACATTCAATAATAGGGAAACCATGGTATGCCTAATGTCACCACAGTAACCACAATACTGTAACCAAGTATGTTGTAGTAAGCTTATAAAGAAATGCCTTATATATGCTTATTACATAATCAAGGTCATTAATTTTGCAGATATGGCTAATTATTATGTTGGGTTTTTTAAATTTCAGCAACATATATGGCATTTCTGTTTAGTAAAAAGTTAATTTAGCTTGCCACAAACTAATTGATTCAAAAATTTTAAATCAAAATCCATTTTTTTTGTACATATGGCATCTGTTTTTAGGACGGCAGTAATCTCTTCAGCACATATCTTGTGTATGTTTTTTCTTCATGTAGACTCTATCAATTTTAGATCATTAATTCACCAATCTTGAAATTCTCAAAAATATATCTATAAAACTATAAAATAATATTTGTTTTCAAAAATGAAAAAAGAGCAAGACCATTAGTTTCACTAGATCCAAAATCCAAGTTAAATTTTCAGAAACAGATAAATCGTCCTTAAAAGATTTTTGTTTACCAAACTGACTATCTAGATAGAGCATGCAATTTTTTAAATGAGTACTGCCTTTACGTTACAAGTCATAATTTATACAAAATACCTTAGAGCACAAGATTTTCATTCAAATTCAGATACTTACCAAACCAAAATTCTACATTAGTATCATCCACATTATAAACATTAATACAAACCTTCATCTGAACTTGAAGCTTGTCTTTTCCTTGCACCTTGATTTTTAATTTTTCGTTTTTTAAAAATAAAATTACACGTACTTCCTTGTACTACCTCCGAATCAGACATTATAATAAAGACAAATTAAAAATTCAATTAATTGATTTGTTTACAAAATAGCAAAGAAAAAAGATCAGCAGAAATAATAAACCGACGTAACCTATAAATAAAGTTTTGTAATATATGGCCCTTTATACTGTTGAACATACATTTGCAGAGGGATTCGGTAGTAGCTAGTATTAGTGGTAGGTAAGGTCAGTGAGTTAGTAGTTATTTTATCTAAGAGTAGTAGTTAAATTGAATTGACACTTGTGGTGACAGTTGCTTTTGTTTATATTTGATGAAAAAAAAAACAAATAATAAAATGTGGTTATTTTCTGTGTTGGTTGGGTTCGTTGTGATATAATTAAAAAACTGTTGAAATAATAGTTTGTTCTAACTTTTGTGATAAAGATTAAACAATTGGTGGTAATGATAAATATATTATCAGTAAGATTATCCATATTTTTATCTCAAATGTGGTATTTCCTTTCCTTTAAAATTATATAGTTAAATCCAAAGCAATAAGAACAAAGAAATAATGAGACCCGTTCATGTTATTTTGATGTTCTTATGTAAATATATACATGTACATGAAACATATCTCGACCTTTACGTCTAGAAAAACAATAATAATTATAAATCTTTATTGGTCCTTTTTGATCACTATGCAATGATGTAGGATATGTCAAGATACATGTAGTGGACAAAACACAATTTAAAATCTACATTTAAATATACATACATACACATATACACACATATATACATACATAATAATACATATACATAATATATATTATGTTACCTAGTAATAATCCTTAATATTATAAAAACATTTTGTTACTAAAAAATTTTTTAATGTTTGTTTAAAGCTGTTAATGGATTTTATGTTTTTAATATCAGCTGGCAATTTATTAAATAATTGAATTCCTGCATACTCAGGACTATGTTCATAGAGAGCAGATACATGCCTAATTGTAGGTAACATATTGCCATTACGAGTGGGATAGTTGTGACAATCATTGTTCCTGAAAAATTTAGCTTCATTTTTTTTTTGTATATAATATTGTCTTATAAAAATATATTGAAGGTAGAGTGAGTATGTGATGTTTAATAAAATGATCCCTGCATGTTTGTCTTGATTCCAAATTGAAGATAAGTCTAATTGCTCTTTTTTGTGCAATAAATACTCTTGTAGCAGCAGGAGAATTTCCCCAGAGTGTAATATTGTATGATATGTGTGAATATACAATTGCATAATATACCTGTAGAAGTTGATTAAATGTAAATATGTTTTAATTGAAGTAGAGCATAACAACCGCTATTAACCTTTTTTACAGATGTAATTAATATTTGATTCCCAGCTCATATCACTATCTAGCAGTACCCCCAGAAAATCTGAAGCTACTAAGTGAAGCTTCTTCTGCAGCTCATCTGAAGAAGTAGCATAAGATACTAAAGTTGTATCATCAGCATAGAGTATGGTATAATCTGCAGACACATGCTGGGGAAGATCATTTACATACAACAACAATATTAGTAGTCCCAAAACTGAGCCTTGAGGCACTCCTCGGGTTAGACTTTTCAATTCTGATTTACAGTTACCCACTTTTACACATATCTGACGTGAATCTAAATAAGAACTTAGCCATTTTAAAATTATGCCCCTGAAACCAAATGCATATAATTTATTTTGAACAATGGATATGTCAATTGTGTCAAAAGCTTTGGACAAGTCAAAGAAGAGTGCACCCACATACTGCCCCTTATCTAGCTGTCGATATATATAGTTGAAGAAAGCAGTAGTTGCACTCTCCGTTGACCTGTCTGGAAGAAAACCATGTTGATGTTCAGTTAAGATATTAATTTTTTTTAGAAAAGATAACATTTGTTGACCTTTACATATTATAGTGGGGATTGTAATAGGTCTGTAGTTATCCCCTGACAAGAGACACCCTTTTTTAAAGATTGTGTGTGTGTATGTATTTACAAGGAATTATTGATTATATAAGCTAATGAATTCGCAATGTATGGGGCAATTGTCTTAATAATTTTAGTGGAAATGCAATCAATTCCTTCTGCATTGGTGTTATTTAGAGATGCAATTGTTTCTATCACTTGTTTATAATTCACTTCTATAAACTGAAATGTGTTTGGAATGAACATAGTGGTGTAATTAATAAAAATAGTGTTGGAAAAATGATTTTTAATTGCATAACTAGCAATTGAAGAAAAGTAATCTACAAACATGTTGGCAATATCTAAGTTTTCTGTTAATCTTATACCATTAGCATCATGTATTTCACTAAAATTAGCAATTTTTTGTTTGTTCAGTTTGGAATTAACAGTTTTTGTGCATACCTCTTTTTTTCCATTTTGTATCATTAGGGCCGACTAGAGGGGGGGTAGCCGGGACTAATTCCCGGGGCCCGGACTCAAATGGGGGCCCGGCGCTACTGGTTTTTTGTTTTGTATGAGAAATTCGACAGAAGACAAGAGGGGAAGTTTTTGGTTGGTTTTTTTTTTTAAACTCAATTTAAGTATAGGAGGAAAAGTTTTACCTTGACGACTTTTTTTTAGAAAAAGCAATTCAAGTTGAGGAAGAAAAGTTTTTTGCTTGGAGACCTTTTTTTTATTTTTTTGAAATTTTGTTTTTTACAAAATTTAATTCAAGTAGAAGAGGAAAATTTTTTGTTTGAGGAACTTTTTTTGTCACGGGGCCCGACCTAGAATAATTGTCCTGGGGCCCGGCCTGACTCTCGGCGGCCCTGTGTATCGTGTCGTAATTTCCGCTTTATTTAGTCCTGATATATTCTTTTTATTCTTTAACTCTCGTATTCAATTCAAATAATTATTTAATAGAAAATGCATTTTCCTTTACTAATCTACTTCCAGGGAGTACACCAAATATTAATCAGTGGGGTTCTAATCTTTCGATTCGTGTCGTATCGAGACGCCTATCTTCGTTCCACGAACTGCGATTCTTATGTATAATCTCTCTCTACTCGACACGTATGCACGTAATAATAATAATAATAATAATACTCTCCCTAATTCACCACCTTACGAGTGAATTTTAACCCCAAAAGCTGAGCTTGTGCGGGGAAAGGGACGGTATTATTATTATTATTATTTGCCATGCCATTTGACTTACAGGTTAGGAAAACCTCACCCATCATCATCGAGACGGTAATGCATGGCGATTTTATAATCTGCATGTCATCAACAGAAATTGAATTTCTATTAATACGGCATACATCAAATCCTATAACCATGCAATTTAGTTAAAAATCCACATGGTCTGTTGTAGGATTCGAAGCTCGTCTGTCTCTGACCAGAAACTTGCCTATAAATAAATATAAGCGCGTGAGACCGCTACACCACCGACCCGATGAGAATCTGTGTAGTTATCTACTAGTTTCCAAACACAAATAGGGTTAGTAACCTTAGGTAAACAAACAATAGGATGAATTCATAATCTTTTTGATCTGAGTAAGTTTACGAAACCACCCTTGACAAGTTTGACAATATTATGATTTAATATAATATTTTGAGAATTCAAATATTTACTCTTGTCAAAAACGGAAAAATAATAGTCTAAGATCCGAAGTAAGGACGACCTTCACTCATCTGTATAACGGATAAGTTTTTTTTATTAATAAAATATGCATAAGAAAATACTGTTGACTATTTATTTTCTTAAAGTAAAAAAAAACGACACCATAAGGAATTCCCCAGATGCTTCGACTATGCCCAAAATTTAATCAGCTCACCGCAGGATTGATTAAAGCTTAAGTTTAAAATTTCGTGTTTTTATCTTTATCCGTTTTTGAATTATCTTCGAAATTTGCACTTTTCCTGAAATATCTCAAATACGGCTCATTTTAGGGAAATTATGTACATGACCAAAATTATAGAAAATTACATTACAAGCAACTTTATCATAATTCCTATACTTTCCTTATCTGTATACAAAAAGGAATGTAAAAAATAGCCATGACAGTATTTTCTTAGGCAACCCATTTGCGGTATATTTATAAACATATTTTATTTAATAAAAAAACTTTCATCCGTTAGACAGATGGGTGAGGTCGACCTTACTCCGGATCCTGTACTATGACGATAATTGATTTGTAATTAGTTTTTTACAGAATCCCCAGAAAAGGAAAAACTCCCATTGTTTAAATCTACCAAATGAATAATTAAATCCAATATAAGTTTACAGTCTACTCAATGGCGGCTAGTGAGGGAGGGCGCTGGGGCGCCGCTCTCCCTACGAAGTAGCAGGCGTCATCTGTAAATTAGTATTTCCATATACTTAATCAGTAATTTTATTTAACTCTTCCTAAATTTATTAACAATAAAAGAGTCAAACACAAATAAATGCAATAAAAAAGTTTGTGAGCGAACAATTTAATTAGCTACGGACGAGCCGTACTTGTACAATACGAACAGGAATAATACGGTTTTTCTCTATCATAATAAATGCGCGCTATAATAATTATTGTATCGGCATAGTACCAGCAGCCTATAGCAAATTTCTGGACGGTTGCCATATGGTTACCGACGTAAATGTGTAAATCGCAGAGTAGTGCGAAGAAATTATGCATTTTGAATACATGCGCTGGCGCCCAATGGGTGTAACATTTTAAAAGTCCGGTTAAAATGTTATTTTAAATATGTGACATCCTGTATAAATAGTTTTCGATTAATATAAATTCAATTATCGCCGCACGCAATATTCCAAAGAATGGGAAATTTCGTGAAGTGGGAGTACAGTAAATCATCGATTTCACCATTAGATTTTTAAATGTAATTTTATGATTACTATCTCCTAGTATCTGGTAGTGTTTGGCTGTAAAAGTGAAAATGAAAACTAGCAGCTGAAAACTAACAGTTGAAAACTAACAATTGAAAGCTAACCGTTGAAAGCTAAACGTTGAAAACTAACAGTTGAAAGCTAAATTAGCATTTTATCACAAGGTAACGTCATTATATTACATGGGTTCACAATGTAATGAAGTCAATTTTCCTCAATCAATTTATTTTCATTTTTAATAAATATTTAACGCGATTGAACTGTCGATCCTCAGTTAATTTACAGATGCGCGAACGCCACTCGAAATCTCGCTGCGCGGTGGGTCTGCTCGGAGGTGGGATTTCTATTGGGAGAGGGACAGTTGTTTGAACGAGACCCGAGATGCTATTAAAAGTATCAGTTCGATATAATTTTTGGTTGCCAGCAGTCGAGTTTAATAAGCCGAATTCGAAATCAAATCACCGTCGATATTTCCGTGCATTTACAAATCCGTTAGGTAAAAAAACCTTGTTCCGCTTTTTACGTTTGATATTGATATTTTAAAAACCGAATTAGCTTGTAGGAATAGGAACATTTTCAGATAGTGTTTAGTTAAAAGATTTAATTTGATTTAAATAATAAATATTAGAAATTGTTTCTTGGTAAAAATATTACCGTTTTTTTATAGTTAGTGTTTAGATAAAAGATTTAATTTGATTTAATTAATAAACATTTGAATTTATTTCTTGACAAATATCATACCGTTTCTTTAAAAAGGGATAGAATTTGAATTAAATAATAAATGATAGGATTTAATTCTGTAATATTGTAAAACCCGGGATTTTTAGACTTTTGATCGTTAGTCTGTATTAAGAAATTATTTTTTTTTTTCATTTTTTTTTTCGTGCAACCTGCAAGTTGTAGAAATCAAAAATAGCTTCATTACCCTGTCTGAGCGGGCTCGTGATGACGATCAGCTCATTCTGGGATAATAGGCTACCCCGGGTATAAATTTATTTTTATTTTCTTTCCGTGCATTTACTATAAGTAATTCTTTCGCGTCCCTGTCTCCTCGCACTCTCTTCGACCGTTTAGCTAATTTTTCTTCACCTAAATAGCAAAATACCTACATTTTAGTTTAATTCCCGATACCGCGGTTAAACAGTTATTTACCGAGTAAATAGCCAAATTAATATTTTTTTCTCTGCGACCGAAACATACATTTTAATTTAATTTTGACGTCTGATTGAGACTAGTCGCGAATCAATATCGTCCGTTTTGTTTCTTTTTTTATTTATTCAGGGTTATATTGACTATCACCACAACTGGAGTGGGCGTTGAAATATTTAATTTCTTTTTTTTGTTGTAAATAGTTATTCACAATATATGTGTCAATGTTAACCTGCCGTATTACTGGTTAATAATTCCCTAGTTTATTTCCCCCTTATATTTCAGCTAGTGATAAATTCTGTACGAGCCCAAGCAACGATTAAAGCCCGTTACTTGTGGCCTACTATTACCTGTGTCTAAGTGACCTTTGACCGCTGGAATTTTTCATCTCCATCTGTAGCTACCCGAGTACTTTCGACGCCGTTTAGAAAGTTTGTGGAGTAAACCATCATCAAAAATTTGGCGCTCGAGAACCGCCCGTAACCAGCGTCATTCGTAAGGAACTGTTTTCTCTGTGGCGAGAAAACCCTTACAACAAGAAAAAGATCAAAAAAGTCAAACTTTTTCACAAACTCTGGGCACATTGAAAATTGCCCTAGGCAAAATTTTAAGTTATCTGTATATTTTTTTGTACTGGATACATTTATTCAAACACTAACACAGATATTTGATGACTTATTTTTTGATCGAAAACAAATTTTCATGCTTACAGGCGGAAAATATCGCCGTTTTTGAAGAGAATAAAAAAATATTTATGTATTTTTTTATAAATCTTCTATCCAACCGGAAACAGTTAATGAATACAAATCGTTTTGTAGTCTATTAACTGAAATAAATGAGGAATATAAATTAAAAACTGAAGAAATATACCCTTTCTTAATTTCCAAAAAATTGGAATCGGTTTTTCCTAATTTATGCAAAATGTGTATGCGTGCGTGCGTGGGTGTGTGTGTGTGTTTGTGTGTGTGGGCGCGCGCGCGCGTGTGTGTGTGTGTGTGTGCGCGCGCGCGCGCGCGCGCGTGTGTGTGAATGGCATTAGACTAAGTCTGTTTGCCACAAAATGAGGAATATATGTACAAAAACTTTATTAAAATGATTTTTAAAACCAAATTATATTAGTAGGTTAATTGATGATAGGAACTTAGTGAGACATGTATAAATTGATTTATTTTCAAGAGCAAGTAGGTACGTAATATTATAGGGCGGGAATATATTTATATTAATGAGCATTTTATACAATTGGATAATTGAATTATAATTGTTTGAACAATTGAAAAAAATATGATTAAGATCTGTAGTGGAGGAACTATTACATGTACATATACGGCATTTTTTTAACAATTGCTACAGGTGAAAGATCTATTAATAGACTAAGAAATATTAAAATTTATAATAGGTGGACCATGTCTGAGGGCAGATTGATAAACATAGCATTACTGAATTTTCAAAGGGACTATGCATCTAATATTGATTTGCAATCTGTAATAGACAAATTTAAGACCATAAAGAGTAGAAGAACTATTTTACAAAAGCATTTGGTATTATATAGAGTGACCCATTTGAAAGCAAGCCACCCTAATAATTTTTTTATTTATGGAACGATTTTGACGATTTTTTTTTTTAATGTGGGGAGGGGAAATGTGTATTTTGTTGCCAAGCGATGTCCAGTTTTTTTAATAGTCAAGGCCTACAAGATCACATTTTTTAGAAAAAATTCGCATACGCTACTGGAATCGGCGTCCTCTGAAATAGATCTGTACCAAGTTTCGTCAAAAAATATTTAACACTAACAATTCTATGACTAAATTACTGACAAGTTGTTTATTATGCATTATCTAGTAACCCATATGATAACAAAAATTAATAAATAGGTTTTAAAAAAACTGGACGCAGCTTGGTTCCAAAATACATCTTTCCCCCTCCACATTTCAACAAAAAAAAAAAAAAACGTCAAAATTCCTCAATAAATAAAAAATTTATGAGGATGGCTCACTTTCTAATGGGTCACTCTGTAGAGTATAACTAGAATATTTAGTATTATATGTATTTTTATTTACGAAAGTGACATGTGTTTTTTGACCATATTTTTTTAAATATTATAAATTCTATTTATTTTTGTTCATTATTTAGCTCGACTGTTCTTATTTTTGTTTTTTTTTATACATTTTATAATACAAAATACCGTATTTTTAGTAATAATAATAATGATTCTAAAAAATCATAAAGCGTCCCTTTAAATGTTTACCCCCCTCCTCGCCCCGTAAGGCTGGCTATGTCATGTATTTCTGATATTATAGTGTAAAAAAATAAGTTATAATTTTTTATGTGGTTCTTTTTTATTTCAAATTAATGCCAAAACTTAGGGCTAAGTATGATTCAGAATCCTGACTAAAATTCACTAAAGTTATTGGTATATATTTTATAGTAAATAAGACGTCTCTAAAAAATAAAAAACAACTTTTTATTTAAAATAAATGTAAACAAACGTAAACAAAACATTTAATATATATATAAGAGTTTACATATCATAAACCTAATGTAAGTACCCTCTACAATAACATATATATTGTTAAAAATAAAATTATCACGTCTTCATTATTTAAGGCACTACGAAGAAAATCATATTACAGTATACAACACTGCACACATCGAACATATTAACCTTAAACTATAATTGTACTAAAAGGGTGTAGTCAAAAAAAAATAACATTTTTAATATTTAAGCTAGATTCGCAAAAACCTTTGAAGACAATATTTTACAACCATGCACAATAAATAAAGTTTTGGCAGTAATAAAAAATTGTGTTTAATAATGTTAAGTAATATATTCTGATGAAATGTGATGTTATATTCTTTGATCTTCTTAAATTTCAATATAGTAAAAAATATAAAGGTAGGATTTGCTAGCATACATTTTTCGGACTCTGTATGACTAGCGATATTCAAGTTATGTCTGGTTTTATCAGAGATAACAGGATATGTAACTGCATAACAAATATGGTGCTGTCGTAAGTAAGCCATATTCTACACAGGAGGGTATAATATCCGCTGTTATCATGCCTATTTCATTATTCTCACTTTGTTTACAAAATTATTTACATTAAAAAAGCTAAAATAATTCAACCTATTTTATTGTAACTGAACCCCCCCCCCTCAAAATGGAATCGTTAGTTATATATTATTTAACCAAATTAGATGTAATTTCACTAAATTAGATGTAATAATTTCCAAAACTGGTAAGCTTACATTGAATATGTCACATTTAGGATAAAACTTATTAATAGTTTAGGCAAATACGGTCAGAAAATGCCCTTTGTCCATAGTTGGTTCGATGTTGTCTAATGTAGAACAGAGGTGTGTCGTGTTCGCCGAGAAGGAGTCAGAAAATGGTGATATTTTCCAAAAGAATGTTACAGGAGATTACTCCATCGAGTAATTTAAAAAGGAACAAAGGAACAGATTGTTTTCTTCTTGCTTCAAGTGACTACAAACATAGTAGCAAACGCGTTTCGTATGATGTACTCTGGCATGGAAAACGAAACTTAAACAGAATATACTCAACGAACTTTCGTTGTACCCGTTCAATTCTGTTAATGTGGATTGGCATCCAGACTACAGCACAGTATTCAATAATGCTGCAAACTAAACAGTTGTAAAGGGACATAATAGCCTTGATATCGTAAATGTGACGCATGATGAAGCCAAGCATTCTAAATTCCTTCAAACGATAGATTCAGCATGTTGGTTAAATGTCCGACTGGTTGAGGCACTATCTACTTTATATACATTGTCGATAAGTTAGGGATCTTGTAAAATAAATCGTAGCACATTCGCTAACGTTAAGAAGCAGACGATTGATTTTGCACCATTTCTGATTGTAAGGCAGAGTTATCACTAGTTTTTGTCTAAAAAACTAGGTCGTCTGCAAACAAAAGATAGCAACTATTTAAGAAACAATTTGTTACGTCGTTTATAATAGAAATAGAACGGGACCAATGTGCGAATCTTGAGGAACACCGTACGTCACCGATATATCACAAGATTCTGAATGATGAACCAGAACACGATGAGAACGTTCTGTTAAGTAAGAGTTGGTCCATTTCAAATAGCTACCATGCCAATCTGAGAAAGTTTCTGAGCTAGCAACTTGTGGCAGACACTATCGAATGCTTTAGACATATCTGTATAGGAATTTTATGCTTAAATAATATACAGACTGTTGCATTTGAAAAAAAAAAACGAGTAAATTGAACTGAAAATTAGCCATATTTAAGACATGTTTCAAAACACTCTGTATAAAATAAACCAGTTCCATCAGCACCATTCTTTAGCTTTGTATCTTATAAGTTTGTATTTTAAACAATTTTGAAATCATTGCTAACCTATCTAAATTATAATTTTATTTGGGGTCTGCATCATTTTCTAATTTCACAAAAAAATAATTGCTTGGCAACAATGCAATATTTTTTAAAACCATTTTAGAGTTTAATACAGTATTACCAGACCATTATAAAACTGAAACAAAACATAGGTCGTTTCATTTAAAAAATATCCATTTATATTTTCCAGACAGAAACGTAACATCCTGTATATCCAATATTTTTAAAATGCTTTTTTCAAATCCATATAACTTTTATTTGATTTATCGAGCAATTACGCATTAATGGGACACCCTGCATAATATATGAATATTTTTACGTAATTTGTCACTATTTCCAATAGCATTCGTTTAAGAATTGTTCAACGATATTTGGAATTATTTTCGTCCTTTTTTGCGACCTATTTTAGCGTATGCAAATATCTTAAACACTTGCAAAATGTCTGCAAATTTTTTTCGTGAATACATTAAATCATTATTCCGAGTAATTACAAAAAAGTGCGAAATTACCACAATGTATATGCACGATGCGATTGTATGCAAAGTAGCTTTTCGTGGTCTATTTCACAACAAAAATGCTGTGAAAAAGCATACGTTAAATAATTGTTCTTCAATACTTTTTCTTTTTTACATGTTCAATTAACAATTTCGGGACGTAGTACACGAAGGAGGCGTAAGCAGATTATTTTCCGCGGTATATTTTTTTCAAATTTGAACAAAGAAAGATTTGCATACATTTACTAATCGTTTGGAATTATCCATTTTCAAAACAAATTCCAATTTGTTTGGTGACGCCGCTGCATACGAGCACTGTTATATAATTGGCGAGAACATGTTAAAAACCTATAATTATCATAAGTTAAAAGATGCATACATTAAACAAACGATGCACAAAATATGTCATTACCGGCTAGTCTATAAATTGGAGAGCTTTATTTACTAGCCGTAATTGAAAATTTAGTACGAATTAGTCACATACGAAGACGAGGATGAAGAGCCTTCACACCCCAAGAGAGCAAGAAATTGACTCAATGTTACATACAGTAATGTTTTATGTTAATTCACTTTTCTATGTCAATTAACGTTTTTTCAGTTAATGATTGTGATTTATAAAACCATCTCATCTTAAAAATACTCATACAAGCAGAAGCATGGTCATAGCAACCTATTATCCCATTAAAATGGTCTAGATATTCTTCAATTAAGTGTGAGGAACCTGGTCATAGGGCCCACAACTATATACTCTAAAATGATTATCTGTGCTCTATTTAGACGCCCAGTACTCACTATAAGTACATAATGGTGCATATTTCGGCCAATACGTTGACTGGGAATTCATTGGTCGACAATTGTCGCAAAATTTCAAATTTCACGCTCAATTTTGAAATTGCTTTAACATTTGAAGGAAAATAGATAAAATAGTAAAGTAATATATATTATTGAAGGGAATTTAATTCTCTACAACCCTATGGTCGGCATTTACTTTTTTGGGTGCATCGTTGAAGAGTTATCCGTTCAAAAAGAGCAAAATATGTGAGGTAATTTTTTTTTCCAAAATTACAGACTTTCAAGAGCTGATATATCGAAAACTATACAAGATATCGAAAAACTTGATTAGGTAAAACTTATAGACAATTTAATAAGCTTTAATTTCATATTGTATGGTCATGTCGCTAGGAGGCATAGTTTCCGAGATATAAGCGAAAAACCCTTTTCCCTCCCGGCTCAAAGGCTACGAGCGGGGACTTTCGATATGTTTACCTCCTAACTATACTCTGTTTTTAAATTAGGAGGAGCGAATTAAAAAGACGCATTTACACAGGGAGAAGTAACTAGATTCGTTACTAAGAGCGTGTTCCGAAATATAGTAGTGTTCAAAATGTATGTAATAGTTATTATCGGCCCTAGTCGGCGAACGGCCAATGAGGGGTTAAGGAACAATTAAATGTCATAGGAGTCGATTTTTTGTTTGGTTCCAGACAACGGTCGTAAATATCTCATTATTGTAATTTGAAAAGTATGTCTAAAACGAACTGTCACTGTCAAATGAATTTTCAATATGGTCGTTGATTTGTTGACGTTATCAAAAAAAGTTTTTAAAATGGATATTGAATATTTAAAAAAAATTGTTAAAAGAATATCCAGATACAGGTTAGTATAAAATATAGAGATATGATGTTTTTACATTTTCAAAGATATATTTGTTATAGGTATAAACTTAAGTAAAAGTAATCAGTGAATGGCAACTGGATCACTCAGTAACTGGAATTCCTCCTATAAGAAATACGTTATAAAGGGCAAATGAAGGCATTCAAAAGTTTACAGGTCTATGAATTAGGATTTGTTTTGAAAACTGGAACCAACATTTTCATAACAGTACATGTCAACATTAATTATATTGTCATTACTAAAACAATATTGTAGGTCCATATAACTCTAGTTGTAAACTTTACCTATATTTTTTAATTTAAAGTGAACTATTCATACGTACCTACGTATTAATGTTAAGTAGATATTTTTAAAATATTAGTTGTGGAAGTAATGTTAGCTCTTTATGCTAAATTAAGATTATCTCTAATGTACATGTTGTTTTAAATGTGAATTAACAATTTTGTAAAAAGTTTTATTATTTTCTAATAAATAAAATTTACTTTAGTTACTTTTTAATCATTTTGATAAGAAATTTATCAATTTTGTTTTAAAAAATCAGTAATAAGTTGTTAGTTTTTCTAAAATACTTTGGAATTCATCTCTTGATGGTAATCTCCCGTCTTTTTGCCTTAAAAACCAATAATGCATTTTCTACAAAAACTTTCTTCAGAATCAGCATGTAGAATAAGTCGTCTTCCCTTTCTTGTAGGGCTTTTCAGGAATTACTGCCTTAATAATACTCGAAAGAAGGATCCATAATCATAGAAATTCAATACAATTGCTTACTTCGAAGATCAAAGAATGTGTCAGAAAAATTATCAGAGTTGGGATGGCTGAATATGTATAATCAAAGAAAAGTTCATTTAGCTTGTCTGGTTTTATAAAGTGTTAAAATCCCATTTTATATTTTTAACCTACTTCAAAAAAGGAGGAGGTTCTCAATTCCTCGTAATATTTTTTTTTATGTATTTTCAGCGATAATTCTTTAACACGATGTCCGATTTCAATGATTCTTTTTTTGTTAGAAAGGGGGTACTTCAGGAGTGGTTCCATATCAATTCTGTCAAAATCTAATAATTGGGTCCATTAGAAAATTCTCAAACTCTTCATTTTTTATGTATGTTTAGCGGCAATTCTTCACCATCTTGTCCGATTTCTCAGATTCTTTTTTTTTTTTTGTTAGTAAGGGAGTACCTCAGGGGTGGTCCCTTATAAATGTGGTCAAAATGTGGAGATGGCATCTGCACGATTTTAAAGTCGGTTTTTTTAAAAATACTTTTATAACTTGTAACAAGTTAAAGGTCAGATCTTCCATCCATAACCGTCATACGAGGTACAGATATCTTTTTGTAGTCAATAAACATAAAAACGTTTGTTTATCAAAGATCATTTTCATATAATGCCAGAAAATTACTTATTGAAATGCCTAAAAATGTCAAAAGCAAATCGTCACTCAGCAGTTTTAAATCATACATAGATTTTAAATATGTTTAATTTTTTTGTATTGATTTTTTTTTGTATTAATGTTCTATTTTTGTATTGATTTTATATTATTTGTATGAATTTTATATTGCATCAATTTTAATTATTAATAATTTATTTCGGTTGAGTGGAGCAATAAGCTGAACTTCACCAAGTATTTAAAAATAAAAATCTTTTATTATTAAATAATGAAATATTATTTTGTAACCTCCAAGGTAAAAACAAGTTAAATGAAAAAATTCAGTCCTCGGAGGAATTTGAACCCACCTATTTATCTTCTTCGCATACCGCTCTTACCAACGGAATTAGCCTTTATAAAATATGAGCAAATCGACATCCCCATCGAAGAAGTTTGTAACTCAATTTTAGTGATTTTCAGAAAAGTCAGAAAACTAAAAAACGATTTTTTTTTAATATTTGTGGTGAAACTGTTTAATACTTCAATAGTTAACAAATAGCATAATTAGAAAACTATGAGATAATGAATGTTTAAATTTTATAAATAATTACCAAGTTGAGTTTGATTGAGATACAACCTTGACATTTAACATAACACTTCACAGAATAGGGTAGTAAGTTTGATACAACCATGATACAATAAGAAATATGTAGGTATATTTTTATTTCTACATTAAAAAAATATGCAAACAAGAAGGCTGTAACTCATTTTACAATCTTTCAATGCTGCATATTATTCGAAACTACAAAATTTAACGCAGATAAAGAGGTATATGGCACGTGTTACTGCCTTTTTAAGACAGAAATGGTGCACGTAACTTTTCAAACGAGTATCAACCAAGCCAATGCAAATCGAGATACGTTTTTTATACTGATGGATTCGCCTCATTTTGCTAAATACGTCTGTGGCTGAATTTAAAAAGGACGTATCGTGAGATACAATCTTCTGCGATGTGGGTGTCGATATATTTTTAAATCTATTTTTATTTAACACAAAGAATAAAAAAAAAAATAATTTTATAAATTTTCTGCCGATTTAAGATACTTTATCCCTTAATTATTCAGAATTTTTGTATTAAAATAAATACAAATTGTAAAAAATTGTCCTACAAAAGTTTCGAATCGAGACATCCTCTTAAATGAGACCAATCTGTTTCAATCCTATCAATGATTTAAAGTTAAAAAAGTAAAAAATATAATGAGTCTTATTCGCAAGATCTAACGGATTTTATAGAACTATTATATAGAGTGAACCACAAAAATATTTCTAAAGTAGGTCTTGGAAAAATGCACGTATGTCGAAGGGTACAATTCTTCTATTTCAGTGTCAGTATGGATTTAGTACATAGTTATCACGGACATAACTGGTATCTGTCTTTGTCGTTCATGTCCTACTTTAGAAATATTTTTTGTGGACCACTCTTTAAAATTAAATAAAAACAAAACGCGCTTTAAATATTCATGAGCAAATTGTACGTATCGGTTATTCAATTTAAAAAATAAAAACTATTTGTTGAGACGTTTACTCTGGGCTAACTGTTGTGTTTCTTCTGGTAACTTCTCCGGTTTTGTCAGAACATCTGTTGTAGTGCACAGGTACTTCAGTGAGTTAAGCACCACTGAAAAAGAAGTTATTAAATTTAATGAGAATTAATTTTGGTTATGCCAATAATTTACAGCTGGCAAGTAGAAAAAAACGATGTTTTTGTTTAAATACGGTACCGTTAACTTTTTAATAATTTTGTTTAGTTATCAGAAATAACGTTAAAAATGTGATATGTTCAGTGTAACTCTCTAAAATATGAAAATAAGGTATCAAAATCGAAGTTCTATGCAATATCTCGTTCTCTATTATCTAATCCTAAAAATGATGTGACAAAAAATTGAAGCTAGTGAAATTCTCCTATCAGTTTACTTTCTTTCAAAAATTTAAAATTTTTAATATTGTTAATTGTTATTCCGTTGTATGAAGATATTATAGTAGGATAACGCTCTAGTAGAAAGCATTTGAGGCAATCTCGCGTAGAATCTAGTGACGTTCTTAGGAAGTAGACAATTTCTAATGCTAGATCTTCTTTTCAATGAGGCATGTGGCCTCTACTATGTAATTGCGCTCTACCACTTACTAGTAAAGTTAAAACTTTTAAAAAGTATCTTTATTTATCTACAAATAACTGATTCGTGATATAAGACATAACAAATTAAACACAAAAATGAACTCTTATTTCAATTAGCAAAACCGTATAATTACAATTTGGATGAAGGACTTCAGTCAATAGTTTGGTTATGTACGGTTATGTCAATAAAATAAACAATAATAATAACAATGAATGAATTAAAAAGTTCAAAATAGATGACAAAAAAGGAAAATAAGTGTCTGAAAATGTTGCCTATAATCTAAGTACTTCTAATTGGACGTAATAGCATGTTTTACCTTAAAAATAGGCGATTATTTAGTTTAAGCCTAGTTGACCCTGAGAAAATTTTATTACCCCCTCTTCACATAAAATTGGGATTGGTGAAACAATTTGTCAAAGCTTTAGACAAAAATGGTGGTTGTTTTAGGTACTTGTGTAAAATATTTCTGGGTTTTTCTAAAGCTAAACTAAAAAGGAATTTTTGGGCTACCAATAATGAAAAGTAATGAAATTGAGATGGTTATGCAGAAAGATGAATAAGAAGCACGGATAGCTTTAAAATAAGTTGTAAATAAGTTTCTAGGAAACTACAAGGACCCAGAATATAAAATTACTGTTAAAAACATGCTGGATGAATTTAGGAAGTTTGCTGTAATATGAGCATAAAAATTAATTTTTTACATGCACATCTTGACTATTTTCCTGAAAACTTCGGTGATGTAAGTGAAGAGTAAGGGGAACAATTTCATCAAGACATTAAAGAGTTGGAAAAGCGATATCAAGGACGATGGGATGTTAAAATGATGGTCGACTACTGTTGGATGCTTAAAAGAGACCGTCCAAGATTTTTCAAGAAGATAAGGGACCAATGTATGTGAATATTATTTCCGGTGGTTTTATTATTTTTATCCTAAATATATATAAATATTCTTACTTTTTACATTGTTGTACTACTTTGCATAAAAAACCATACGTGATAGAAAAACAGTTTTGAAATTAGCGCAACTTAAATACCCAATACCAGTTGAAGAATACAATCACAATTTATAAAGTATTAAATAGCAGGCCTGTGTGATTTGTTTATTAGTCCGTCAGATAGTGACAGGTTTAGGTGCCCCATTTTCGCATACAAGTCTCGAAGAGGGTTGAAAAGTACATCGATTTTAAGTAGAGCGAAAGGAAATTTACGAGTGGCTGCTGGGGATAACACATGGAAAATTCGATTATCCCTAACAAAAACGAAAGGTTATTTGTTGCCCATTTTTCCATGCAAGCCGTTTTCATTATATGATTAATTAATAGATCTAGGCTTCGGAAAACCAAAAGCTTTAATGTTACAAGCCCATTGAATGTATGAAAACTAGTCCGAAAAATATATTTTCTTGAATGACCCGAATGTATAAGTGCATTCTGGGGTAGGAAAATTTTTTCTGACAAGGAAAATCGAATTTTCCATGTGTTATCCCCAAGAGCCACTCGTAAATTTTCTTTTATTCTACTCAACATCGATGTATTTTTCAACACTCTTCGAGGCTTGTATGCGAAAATAAGGCACCTAAATCGGTCACTATCTGACGGTCTATATTTGCATATTAAAGACTAGCGCAGCCGTCTTCTTACGAAACAAAAAAAAAAACAATGTAAAATTGTATTAAAAAAGTAGATTTTATATAAAGAAAAAAAATTCACCTGGCCTGAGATCTCCAAGCGTACAATGCTGTTCTGTCCAAAGCATTGTTGATCGATAAAGGTCATCAAGACTAGAACTCGACACAAAATTGTTAAAAGAATTTAATAATGGCTTGAAAATTAATCCAAACTGTTAAAATATTAAGGAAATTTTCTAACTTCATTTCATAACTTTATCTTATCATAACATTATTATAAAAAATAGACGAGTAGGATATTACATTTTTAACACAGTTGAGAGGGAACCTGCAATCATTGTTTTTTTTTTTTTAACTTTCACCTAATAAGTTTATGCAATATGCACGATAATATTGTAATAGGTGACCAAATTTGACCTTCGGATTTAATTTAATAATAAAATACACAAAACCCTAGAAAAATTATAATGTTATTGTATAATTTTAAATGTTACTATTAATAATGAAAAATGATCTCTGGCATGTGACCCCCCTCTGCTTCTTTAGCTTCATTCTGGAAAAATAAGGACTAATAACGCCACCAGACCAAAAGCCACACTACACACTCACATTTACCAGATACAGTTATCTTTCCAATATTTCTCTTGGATTTTCTTCGCCCCATATTCTGCAATTCTGCTGTTGAAATATCTTCATAAAACTCTCAATAACTTTAACAGATGGTGCTAAATTTCTTCCGAAATGCGTACGACATCTTCTTGCAATTTCAGCAAAACATTTTGGTAATAAGTTTTCACAATAAAAACGGGATTTTCGATGGGCAGTTATTCCATGTTGACCAAAAAACAAGTATCCGCAAAGTTTTTACTTGACATATGTCACCATAGAAATACTGTCAATATTGCCAAAAAATGGCGTTTAATTTAAATTGGAATGTCAAATTTGGACACCCAATATGCTGGTTCAGTGATGATGTAATGCGCTAGTTCCCATAAGAACAGAAAACGGGATGAGTTGCAAACAAAAAGTTGTTGGTTTTGCCATCTATTTAGCATCTTCCACCCGAACCAAGAATAAATTGAAATGGATAACCGAAATATAAAATTTTATTAATGTAAAAATACAGGTACTTTTTCATAATAGTAAAAATGACCAATATAATCAACGCGACATTTAGGTTTCATAATTTTTCTCTACTATAAAAAACTGTTGAAGTTAATAATGATACCCAAACCAGGAAAACTCCAATAATGAAATCGCATCATATAGACCAATCTCACGTATGCCTGTAATATCAAAACTATTTGAGAAATTGCTCTTAAGAAGACTAAATAAGGTAATCGACAAAAAATAACTTATCCCGTCCCATCAATTCGGATTTTGAGGTAAAAATTCTACGATTGATCAAATCCATCGCATAATAAATAAAATAAATAAATCTCTAGAAGAAAAAAAATTGCTCTACAGTATTTCTTGATATCTCAAAAGCCTTCGATAAAGTGTGACATTAAGGACTAAACTTTAAAATAAAGACATTTTTCAAATTGAAAACGAATAATCTGAACTCAAGTACTCAATACAGTACTTATTTTTTCGTGATAGGCAACACGACTGGTATATAAGTTAATAAAATGGCAACAGCCAGTCGTCGACTAGAATTAGAAGATATAATGGTGGGATATTAGCCGAACCGAATGTCTGTCAAAAAGCCAGAAAACATAGTGATAGCAGGGATATCGTAGTTGCCACATGTTGACTGTAAATTCACGACTATGTTTAATACAAAATAATAAGTACTGTATATGCTGGCATCCTACAGGGAATTGTTTTTGAGCCAGTATTATATTTATGACATTTCAGATATAGAAAATATAAAATAAGCAGCATTCGCTGATGATACAGTTGTCTTAACCATATGATCAACTAAAAAAGAAACATCAGCTAATCTTTAAAACGGAATCAACAGCATGCAGGTCTGGTCTAAACAGTGGCACACAAAAAAACGAAGAAATATCTGCTCACATTATCTTTATCAATAAAAGAATATATTATATACCAATAAACAAGAAACAACAATATAGCAAAAAAGAAAACAGCAAAATATTTGGGTCTAAATCTGGAGGCTAAATCAAAATGGAATGAGCATGTAAAAATGAAAACTGAACAGCTAAAGATTAATTACAGAAATATGTATCGGTTGATAGGAAGGCACTTTTCACTTTCCATTCAAAACAAAGTCCTGGTTTCAAACAAGTTCTAAAGCCAGTATGGACATATTGCTTGCAATTATGGATGCATTTACAATTGCCTAGAAATATTTCAAAACAGAATTCTCAGGAACATATTTAACGTTCCTTAGTATGTTCGGAACAAAGTTATGGGCCACAATATCGAAGTGTGCAGAATATGTTAATAATTAGTATTGAACACAGGTGAAATCTAAGATTTAAAATCGATTGTAAAGTAGGTTATTACAAAAATGCTGAATAACCTTATAAGATTATGTGCATTCGGACATTATTAAAAAAATTATTAATTTGAATATGTTGAATTATTAAAAATGTTTGTAAAGGATACGATCCAAAACTTCCAAGTATCCATGGTTCGCATCCTTACGTATTCTTCAAACATTTCTTGCATTCTGCTGTCCCTCCTTCTGGAAACAGGAGCACCCGTGGCTGGTAACATCGACTGACAGTTACTAAAACAAAACGAAAAATTATGATTAATTTTTTTACGGAATGACATTTACGAAGGTAAAAACAGAACATAAGTTATACATGCCGAGGGACGTCTTCAACGAAAGCAGATCTTACTCAATTATGAAATCTAAAATGATTGGCTATTAGTGATTATAAGAAAAATTGGTTAAGAATGAGAGTTATAAACATTTGAAGCTGGACCCAGTACGGGTATGAGTTAGTGGAAAAATTGATTAAGGAAGAGTAATAAAGGCTTGAAACTGGACCCAATGCGCTAGTTCAGTGATTATGTAATTATGGTTCCACTGACAATTAAAGTGACAGTAGATTTTTTAAGTGCGTTTTGTTCATTTTGTTTACCTAAATTATATCGTTTTTTTCACTTTTATAAATATATTTCTAAAGTAAGTAGATACCATATATCAAATATACAATAGTTTAGTTATCAATTGCATACCTTTAAACTATTTTTTATGACTTGTTAACAATATTTAGGAATAAACTAAAAACCGTAGAAACGTATATGTCAAATTTATTGATGTTTTTGTTAAAAGTTTGGTTAGAATTAAATGTCAGTGGAACCAAAATGACATCACACTGAACTAGCGCATACGGATGCGAGTAAAAAGTCAGGCTATTGGTGGAATAATGGAAGAAAGTTTAGACGTGTAGATAGAGGTATTTCGTATATGAGTCAGAAGGTTAGATGGTGGGGAAATTTTTGCTTGTTCTAAATATGAAGTTTTCTCATTTTGTTACCACCAAGCAGGTGATTAATGTATGAGCTCACTGTTGATTTATTTTCTATAAACTTGTAATTGTAAGCAATCGTTTTTTACCTTTTATTTTGGTACAGGTTAGATACTAGCAGTTTTACAATTCATTGAAAAAACCATTATCATGCGAGAGTTGAAAAATTCAGGTTAAAACAGGAGGAGATTTGAGTTCCCTCATTTAAAAACTATGTATATAATTTTTTTTTGAGTTTCAACATACCTGATAGCCGAATTAAGTGTTTCAATCTGTTGCCGCAAGGAGTCCATTTCTGCTTTCAGTTTACTTCTTTCGTCCCTTAACTGCCTGATATATTCAGCTCCTTTTTGTAACATAGCTGCCTTACTTAACTGAAAATAAATGAAATACAAGATAATTAAACACACCCTACTTTAGGCAATTTTGTTTTAAACAAATAAACATGTATAAAATACAGGATGTCTCATTAAGAATGGAACACAGAACAACTAAAGATTCTCTAATTAAAAATACGACGGTTACACGAAATATGCTTGGATAAAATATTACTTATTTCCAAAATACTTTCAAGTCAACATCAGATAAATATCTTCACTAGATGTTAACCTATTTGATAGATGGTAGGTCATAGGTTGGGTTTTACTATCTTATCTCTATAAAACCTTAATTTATTAATGTTATTCTATTTTTAATTTGTCCAGTCCAGATTTTATAAAAATTTTAAATTGTTTGTAACTTTGTTTTGTTATTTCTTTATTAAAATTCGAATATTGTTTTTGGATTCCCCAACCTCTACCCATACAGCACACCAAATCTTTGGATATCTACTGGACATTCCAATATCCACTAAATGTCCAGTCCATGGTGGATATCTATTTTATATTCATGAGATTTATTTTATAGACATGCAAATGTCCATAATTAATAGTAATTATATTACAAAATTATGCTATTGTGGCTAATAGTACCGTTTAGATATTTAAAATTAAATTTTTTCAAGGTGTATTCAATATCCCATGGATATCCACTAAAATATATTAAAGTCTAGGCGCCAACGCAAACCATGGTGGATATCCACTAGATGTAATTTATGGATATAATATATACCTAAATATCGGAAAATATATGAATTGATTTAATAATTATTAAATTACTTAAATATTACGCCATGTGATAACTAAGAAAGCATGTAGGTATGGTTTATAGAATTTTAAAATTAGTGAGTTGTATTCAATATCCCACAGATAGGGATAGATAGGGATGCGCAAATTTTTAAAAACATCGATGTTGACATCAAATGATACATCGAATACAGACTAGCTATTGTAAAAAAATCGGAAAAGAAAATATCGATTTTTCTAAATATCGATGTTTGTTTTTCCATACATCGATGTGTCTGTAAACATCGATAAAAAAGGAAAAAAGGAATTCAAACCATCAATTGAAACGTGACGCTTAACAAAAAAACATTGAAAAGAAAATCATCGATGTTAATTGAAAAATCGATGTTAACAAATAACATCGGATAAAAAAACTCGATGTTAACTAATAACATCGGAATAAAAAACATCGATGTTGATAATCGATAATCGAAACCTAAAAATCGATGTTTTTTAAACATCGATACATGGTGCGCATCCCTAACGCGAGCGCAGTCGCGGATATTTTCTGCCCTCACAGGTGTCATCGGCCATTTTATAGTTTGTTTTCGTTTTGTTTGTGTCGTGTGCATGAGTTTCATTTAATAATTTTGGATTAAAAGGAGGTAAGTAAGCTTTAAAACCTAAATTTATTAGTGTAAAAGGTTGATAGACTTTAGTTAAATAACACTATGGTTAAATTCACGTTATTAAGATTGTTAAGTAGGTTGTATGCAATGTACGTTAAAATCTGTGTTCTTTTTAGGTAATTCACAACTAGAAATTTATTTTATTCTTACGATACCCTCTTTTATTACAATTAAGATGGATGTTATTTTACCTACCTTCATATACCTACTTATTTCGTGTGATTATTATTGTTGGTGATTCGGATTGGTTTTTATTGTTTAATGGTTATTATAATTAATTAGGAAGAAGTATTTTTTTCACTGGTTGAGGTAATCTTATTACCTTGTATTCAATAGCAGTGGCGGTTTGCCCTTAAGGGCACTTGGGCACGTGCTCTAGTATAATAAACCAAAAAAAAAATAATAACGTACATATTTTATATTTTCATCAATGCCTATTATTATTTTATCTAATATTCAGCGCAAACCGCGTTGGCACGACACTGGACGACCACGCGTTGAGCGACGTTCCGAGAATGCCGAAATTAAGTGGAAGATAGGCACAGGGCACAGTAAATGTGTGCCCAGGGGGGCTTATAACATATGCGCGTTATATCAACAGGTTAGTGCGCAACACATCCGCGCATATCAGTCCGTTTTACAATAATAAAATGATATTTAAATTTAAAGTACACTGAATAATTGAATAATTCAAATATATTTCGCTTAATAACAAAAGTAATACACGGTAAGTATTGTTTTAAAATTATATATTTATATAAATACTACAATTATTTGAAAAACATGAATTGATCAATTATTTGTACAATGTAAATCTGACTTTGGGATTGTCACCCGTTCGAACCGATACAATAACAAAACTGAACAAAACAATATGGTTATGGTTGCTGAATAAAACGTGGTAAGTACTTTTATTTAATTTAAACATGTTAAATTTAAAATTAAGCAAAGATATTTTGATGTTTTAACATGTGTTTAGCAGGTCCTGTTCGTAATAAATTCATAATATCTAATTGTAATAGCGTTGTTTGTATAAAGGTAAATAGTACAATTTACTGTCCAATTTATGCTGTAAATTTTAAGAACACTTTTTTTTTGTTTCCTTCCGATATTAAGCAAGGAACTAAATGATGCCGCATAAACTTCATCATTCCACTTGCGAAAAACCATTTATAGGTTACAAGACTGTAAATTGGCTTTACCTTTGGTACCCTTGAAAGCTAAATTAACAGTAAAGAGTAATACTATAGTATATTATGCAACGATCATGTAATGATGGTTATTAATACACGAGCATTAACCGGGATACGAAACGAGCCAAAGGCGAGTTTCGTATGGTTTATGCGAGTGTTTTAATAACCATTACATGAGAGTTGCATACGCTATTTTTTCTACACCCGATAAATAATCAAGACCTATAAATATTCTATTTATATTGGCATTGAACACAATAACAGTAATTACTCGTACTTCTATAAAAAATTCTACAAAATTGTAATTAATGGTATTACCTTGGGTATTGGTATTACCACAGATTTTTGGGGCAAAATATTTTGTACTGCATTTTCTCCTTTCTCCGATATGTGTGGAGGAGTCTTCTATATCGCTGATATCAGACATTTTAATATTATAATTATCGAAGTTTAGCTATCTACGAAAATGTAATACGTTTTGACAACTAAAACAATTACATAGGAATTTAGGACAAACGTCAAACATCATGCTTGATTGAAAAATTGTAGGTTTCTATTGATTAAAAATCTGTATCATAATGAAAAATCTGTATCATAATGGGTATCATTATGAAACGGATTATGGGCATATAAGTGCATTATTATAATACGGGTGTAGAAAAAAGTAATATTGTTATCATACCGTCAAACAAATTACCAGTGAAAAGAAAGTTACATTCGATTAAAATTTCATCCAATGAAATATAATTATTACCTAAAAAACAATAATTAGGTCTTGGATTTTTAAATCAAACCAGTGAATGGTTAGCTCCAAAGAAGAAAAAACTATTTTATAATTAGAAAACAGCAAAGTAAAATTTGCGAATCAAAGAAGGACCTCAAAGCTTGATCCCGCAGACATCTGTTTTTTTAAAAGTACTACATCTAATTAAAAAAGATGGAGGGACTACCATTATTAATTATAAAATATTATAATGGAAGTATAAAACTGTGACAATGTCTAAAAGAAGAAGGAGATTCAAAATACTACTTTGAATTTTTTGTTTCAGATTATATGGATGGTTCTCCTTCATGTGTTTTGTTACCTACCCAAGTTTACAGAAAGTTTTAGTTGTTTTAATAAAATATTGTTTATTTAGAAAATTTATTATAAATTATTTTTAATGATATAATAGATAATACAATTATTTTATATTACATTATTTTACCCTTCCTAAAATTATGGGTCATAAAATTTTACATTTTGATTGGCATTTTGCTACATCTTGCACCTTGTCTGTGTTGTAAAAAATGCCAATAAAAATGCAAAATTTTAGTTATACTAATTAAAGTAGAGCTACAAACAAAATCCCGCTAATTTTTAAATAAAATAAAATATGCAGGTATCTATATTACCGACTGATAAATAGTTGGACAAATCCCTCCCATTTGGCGCTGATAGCAAACATGTTGCCACATTTATACAAACGGCAACTCTTAATTATCCTTCCTCCATGTGTGTGCCTCTGTTGTTTTATCTCTCATTATAACGCGAAAAACAAGGACAACGACAATATCGCTTAGCAAGAGATGAACTGATGCGGTGGATTATACGTCACAAGCGGGGCGCTGTCCTCATCGTAACTTGCTGTACCGATGATTCGGTTTATTTGTTTACCTTCAATTAACGCTGCCGGGTGGTTTTGCTTGTTGATATTTTGGAGCCGTAAATTTCGGTAATCCGTTTGATAAGTGTGATATATAATTGTTTTTTCACTAGTATGAATTCTGCGCGAAATTCAGTACAAAATATTTTAAACGGTGCGTTATCGTTTAATATGTAAGGAAATTTATGATACAATAGTAATGCAGGTAAATGAACGTTTTAGTTTTACTACCCACCTAACAATTGCAAGTTTATTTGATAGTGAAAAATTTAAAGACTATCGAGGTTGTTTTCCAAATGAGGACGTTAAAACTGTGTGTAGTTTATTTCCAAACGTAAACAACTTAAAATTAAAAAACGAACTGTTCATACTTTACGCTCGAGATGACGTTGTGCAACACAATGGGGCCGTACCGTTATTACAAATGTTTTTTGAGAACAATTTGATAATAACATTTTCGGAATCTGTGGAGCTGCTAACTATCCTGTGTACAATTCCCATGACCATAGTGGAGAATGAAAGATGTTTTTCGACACTAAAACGTATCAAAACATTTTTAAGGAACACTATGTGCCAAGATAGATTATGCGCGTTTTTTTTGAAATATATTTAATTTTCATTAAGCGGAGAACTTATTTTCCTAAGGGAAAAACGAATTCCTCGGATTTATTTCCAGTGTGTGCCCCACTGCTGCTAGTGCCCACGAGCCGCCACTGTTCAATAGCATGCATGAAGAATTTAAC